CCAAGCAGCTCGAACCTTATCATGTTCCCGCTTGCACGCCTCCCTCTCCTCCTCCACAAGCACCTTCCTCTCCAAAGCCAACTCCTCCTTCGCGAGCCTGACCACAAGTGTAGCAGGCCTAGTCTATACACAACCTACGCTAGCATATCCTCTTTCCTCTTCAACTCCACGACCTGCTCATTTAGCCGTCTAGTAGCGTCCTCAACAGCCGCCTCCGCTTTCTTCACTTCTTCCTATACTCCCAATACATGACCATCATAGGATCACACTACCTTGTTGGCTTTGAGATCAGCGATCCACTTCGCCTCTTGAGCTTTCAACGCTTTCCTCTGTACCTCAACCGCCGAGAGCTTAGCTGCACAGTCCTGCAAACAATCACATGCTCCCCGTATGTGAGTTCACCACAGAGAAAAAATGAGGTTTTTGAGCTAGAACTGCCGAGAGAAGCGGGTAGGGAAAACCAAGGCTTGATCCTACACAAGCTTGATCAGCCAGCATATCAACTCGCCTCTTCCACTCCTCAGCCTCCCCATTGCTACGTTCGACATCAGCCCGCAGCAGTTCTTTACTCAACCTACGGCGATGTTGGAGTAGGAATATATGTTTACTTTCCTCACCCGAGCTCAAGAGTTTACGCACGAAATTGGGTAAAAGTATAAAGGAAATCACTAAATTTCCCAAAATTTTCATGTGCATATTTTCCCACACATACGCCGTATGAAGTTGGGATATCCCCTCCCACATACCGCAACTCTTCCACTTCCACCTGCAACCCCTCCTTCTCCTCGAGCAGCCGAGCTCGCTCCGCTTCTAACTCTGCCACTTGGCTCTCGAAGGACTCATCCCTCTCCTGCATCCGTTTCGTCTGACCACATTTCACAAATATGATTCTCCGATGAGAATCGTGGAAATTCGGCCGCTCACTTCCTCCCACATCTCTTGCACTCTTTGTTTCTGTTTCAGCAGGTCTTCTCTACTGCACTCCAAACGCTGCATTTGCTCCTGGCGAAAATTCCCTAGTTAACAGACAACAACACCACCAGCCAACAAACCTCATAAAGGGCCCTATCTCTCTCGAGAGCGCGCGCGCCCTCACGAATCTTCGCTGCAGATTGCTTCACTTTCCTGACAATACGAATATCACTTCCACTATCAGCTGAAGCAGATCATTCCAACAGGGGAGGGGGTAGTAATCATTCAGCATCATCAACAACATTACTTTGCCTCCTGTAGCTCTGCTATATGTCGTGCTCTAATCCTCTCCCATATCTTACTTGCTCCACAGGTACACACTTCATGACCTGCAGAGACAGGGGGGAAAGGAGAAGAGCGTAGGCAGCCTCAGGGGCAGTGTAGGAAAATCACCCCATGGTCAACTACTCGTGTTGGGGACAACATGGAAATTCTGTGAATTTCTACCCAAATTCGCATAAAAATTTCTACAATTATCGAGGAATTGTTGAGCTCAACCGAAGAAAACGAACATATACTTCAATTTCACGCGAGGGCATCGAGCAAATACTTTCCTCTCGAGCCTCGACGAGCTAGTCTCATATACCACAACTCCCACCTTTCTGAGCCAAGTCACTGATGGTAGGCCGCATCGTCGAAGGGCGAGCTGAGGATGGCGGCGCTGGTAGTGCAGGAGGGCCGGCGGCAACTAGCCTCGAATCAGCACTCATTACAGAGGAACTACACGGTGAGGGAACCTGTAATGGCCATTACTATTGATAGTGGCAGTAACAGCTTGAACGATTACCCTATAACTAGATAACAAGGATATATCACAGTTTCTATTGCATGGCCGACTCGTGGTGTTCGTAGATGGTGCTGAAGAGGAACACAAGAGACTAAGACGTCAATTCGTTACCATCCACGACTGAGATCATTATGGCAGCCGTGAAGGACGATCTCGAGTACTGCTAATACAAAGTTTCCCTATGTATAAACGAAGCGAACGTGCTGAGAAACAACTTTAAATTCTTATCATCCAAAACAGTTTCTAACGTTGTCCTCAAGAGCACTCCTGACACGCCGCCCGATACCGTCCGTCATTCGATCTAGTCAGCCTCCTCAAGAAGGTGTTTACTCTACGGACACCTACCCCCCCCCGAGTTGTCATCTACCACAGAGAGGAGGAGGAGGAGGAGGAAGACCTTTGATGTCGTTAATCATAGAAACTTGTATATAGCCATCATGATTCGGCAAAGTAGCAACAATGAGTCGGTTATACTTTCCCGCATCCCCCCCTCCCCACCTTACCGCGAATTAGTGGTGGCCATAAGAAGGTGTCTGAAAAGTGTAGGAAAAGGAAATTCGCCTCCAAGGTTTACTACCCATACAACTACTATTACTAACAGAAGCTAAGCGAGGCGATAGTTACCAATACATTTCTACGCGTTACACCAAGAACTAGCAGCTATCCCTTCGCATGCCTACCGCGCTTTGCTTGGTGTCCACCAACACTCCTCGCTCGGGTAGGTATCCTCCTATCACTCCTCGCCACATCATCAACATCATGATGATGAATGAGGCTTCGGCTCGTCAACGGTGGTGGTGGTGGCATGAGGTTCTCCGTGAGCCCACCGCTTTGACTTATCAACGATCTAATCACATACACCTACCCTCCTTAATAGTTGTTGTTGATCACCTTTGCCTCGCCACTCCCCCTGTCGTCCTCGGTCGTGGCCTCGGCCCTTTAGATGGTGGTGTCACCATAGGCGGTGTCGGCGACAACACACTCACAGCTTTGCTCACCTAAACAATTACGTCGTCCCCAGTAGAACAGCTGTGAGTACCAGAGGGCCTTCGAGCGTATTATGCATATCTACGACGTTTTCCTTATCCCTTCCACACAGCGCCACGCTATCATTAACGTCGATCGAGAACTCCAGAAGTGATGGTATGTCCTCCGACTGGAAAGTACCTCTCAACATGAACGAATGAAAAGCCTGATAATGGTTTAACACCACCCCCTCCCCCGCTTCATTAACGACAAGGCCAACACAGCACAGCGGGAAGGATACGATAGAATATATGCACGAAGGGAGTGAGTACTGCTAGTGATAATGTAAATGAATTTTATATCTCCATCCGAGGTCGCCGAAGTAACAACGACACAGCACTAGAAGAATAGACTTTCTACTATCAATGCCCCTTAGGTCGACTTGTCATCAAGGCATTCCCCACAAGAATCTGTTGGAGCCTCTTGACCCGGCATCCGTACGACCCACCATCATCAGCGCCACAGACTCCTCCACAGGCTCCCTCGTAGTGACAGCCTTCCCAGGCCAGATACCCAAATTTTTGATACTTCACTCCTTTCGAAAAAAATTCCCTTTTTTTAGTTTTTTTTCGACTGATTTCAACGTGATGTTGACAATGACAAAATGAAAAAAATTCTCCTTGGTTTCTGTACATTTTCACTCTAAGCAGCAAAGTCCTAAACTCGACTGCTAAGGACACCAAACATATACTCCAACGCTAGCAAGCACATTCCTACCTGCACGAACACTGAGGATAGTAGTCGTAATCAGTGTGGGAAGATATGCACATGGTCAGCTACATATGTCGGTGACAATATGAAAATTTTGAGAAAATTTCGAGAGACTGTTGTTGATTTCGATAACACTCCTACCCAAATTCGTGTATATATCTCTATTATTAGTGAGGATACTCCTGAGCTCAGCTGAGGCAAACGAGCATATACTCCAACACTAATCGTAATGCATGATGACGGCGTTGGACTATCGAGCTACAAACACCTTCCACACCCAAGGCGCATTCCACTATAGTGACCACTAAACACAAGTAGACTGGTAATTCAATAGTAACCAGACTCGCCCCTCTCCAGCACCACACACAGCAGTAGGAGGTACCATACATAACAATCCAATACCACTCCTACTACACACAATGAGAGGAAGGAACAAGCATCAACGAGGAAGAAAATCGGACAGATAGGCTTGGCCATCTAATAGCCGTCACCTTATCAGCAGTGATGAAGGGGGAATCGGAACTGGGCCCTATGACCACATACTTCCAACACTACCAAATTTAATACCTAATATGAATGATAAATAACAATACAATGATAGTGATAGTCCTATTACTCCTTGTGAATGCTCATGGCCTTAGTAGCGAATCTATCAGGGGTTCTGATATCATACAGACAACACGAGCCGATCCAAACCACAACGAACATGATAATACTAAACAAGAAAATACTCATTACTCGACAGAGCTACGGAAGGCTTACGTGACGAATGTGCCGGCGAGGAAGGTGGGCGTCACAACACGCTTCATCCACCCCGACTTCGCAAGTGCTACCTCCTCAATTTGTCGTACGACCTAACATACGATACTAGGGAGAAATACAGTCGAGTACAGAGCCTACCTCCTCATGCTTGCGCTCCTCACTAACAGTAGGTTGCTTGACTTCATCAAACTGCTGGTCGGCAGGGGCGGCCGCGGCAACAGCAGCAGGGACGGCTACTTCCTAATAAGAGGGGATAATCTAAAAACTAGGTGATAGTCTTCTTACGGAAGCCATAGTCTGCTCCTGGCCAAAGACCGAGAGGACTGTAATGATACATATAACGAACAAGGTGTTGAATGAACGCATTGGTAGTATTAGTAGGAGAGCAGGAGAGAAAAACTCAACTAGCAACAGCAGACCCATCATATACTAGTTTCCCAACACCACCAAAGCAACAGGGTACCACTCCACTAGGGAGAAAAAATTCCAGCACTCACACGATGTCCAATGTGAAAAGTATTTTACGAATGTGAAGTTATGATAGGCTCGATGACAGTAAAACATGAACAGGAATGTGAACCACTACTACTAAAGACGACCTAGGCATTTAACTCCAGGTGACCTTGGGTAGAGGCTCGCCGCTCTCTTCAGCTTCCATCATCATCTCCCATAATGGTGACAACTCACGTAGGTATGTCACCTGCTCAATGACCTTAGCAATAGCATTATCAACCTCCTCATCTGTGGTAAAACGACCAATACCAAACCTGTTAACAACAACATCATCGAATCTACCACAAAAAAGAGTCCCACCTCAAACTCGTGTGAGCGAGATCATCACCAACACCAATAGCTCGGAGAACATAACTAGGCTCCAGACTAGCACTGGTGCATGCTGAACCACTAGATACACAGAGATCCTTATTCAAGGCCATCAGCAACGACTCGCCCTCTACTGCAGAGAACGATAAATTTACATTACCAAAATATCTGCAATTAACAGCCAATAAACAACCACACAAAACCAGGCTATTGCTCACCTCTCCGTTTCGCTTCCATTGAGGATGACTTTAGGTAGATGCCCCCTGATACCATCCAAGAGCTTCCTGGCCAACCTCGACACATGCTCCTTGTCCCTGTCCATCTCCTTCTGGCATATCTCACAAGCAGCACCAAAACCAACCACATTAGGAGTAGCCAGCGTACCCGACCGCAGACCACGTTCCTGTCCACCACCATCGATAATTGGTCTCATACGAACACGGGGATGACGTCGTCTCACATACAAGGCGCCGACCCCTTTAGGACCGTACACCTTGTGACCAGAAATACTCATCAAGTCAATATTCATGTCATTGACATCTAAAGGTATCTTCCCAGCAGCCTGAGCGCAATCTGTGTGGAAGTAGACACCGTGCTTTCTGCATATCTCGCCAATCTTCTTAAGTGGTTGTTCAACACCAATCTCGTTATTGACAGCCATAACGCTGACCAAGACCGTCTCCCCAGGCCTTATAGCTTCCTCAAGCTTCTCAAGATCAACCAAACCATCGTGATCAACAGGCAGGTACGTAACATCAACGTCCTCGTTTTGCTCAGCTAAGGCACGAGCACTAGCTAATACGCACTTATGCTCTATCTGGGTTGTGATGACATGTTTCTTCCCAGTCTTCGTCCTGAGAAAAAAAGTAAAGTCGTTGAGAATAGCAGAAGAACAGACCCTTACTTAGCGTAGTTGGTGACACCTTTCAAAGCTAAGTTGTTGGACTCAGTGGCACCACTAGTGAATATGATCTCCTTAGGGTTGGCCCCGATCAAGCTGGCCACCTGTCCTCTAGCATGCTCACATGCATCGTCAGCTTCCCAACCATATGCATGGCTTCGACTATGAGGGTTGCCGTACCTGTCAATAGTGTATAACAAGATCGACCTGACAAAATTCACTTACATATTGCAGAAGTATGGCAACATTGCATCGAGCACACGAGGATCCATAACAGTGGTGGCACCATTATCGAAATACGCCTGAAAACAGCAACATCCCATAGGCTCGAATCGGGCCTATTCCGTATCATGCACACCCAACCTCTAGATACGCCTCGAAGACTACCTAGATATACACACAACCACTATAGGAATTTCCATCATTTCAGCGCATGATGACATTCCTAAGCTCTACTCAATCCAAGCTGAACGTTATAACCCAGCCTCTTACCGGACGTTTATACTCAATATCTTCCACTTGATCAGCCTTAGTAGCAAAGGCTCTACTACAACGACTCAGTACTGCTACTTGAGCCCTGCTGGCCACAGTTAGAGCGTTCCGAGTACACGATAACATTATAGATGACGAAGCTGTATACGCTGAAAGCCACTCTAGGCGAGATAAAAATGCACGAAAATAATTAACCTAAATGCATGTAAAAATCCAGCATGATTCGAATCTACTGTGTCCGAGCTAAGGCACACCTTATCGTCTATTGTCCTCAGCTGATAGTATGAGACCGACCGAACAGGGACAAGCTTAATAACCACGCTAAATAGATCCAATTCTACGACACAACGACTTACTGTCCATACCGTTCTTCCCTCAACTCTGATAGTGTTATTGGTGATAGTCTCATATCAACACTTGAAAGAGGTTTCCTTGCGCATGTGGCACAGGAAGGTCCATAGGGTAATACAAAACCGCTGTCCGTACGACAATCTCAACTCCTCATCATAGTATTAACAACCTCGGAAAGTCTCGAGTGCTTCCACTTACATGACGAGGCATTGACTAGTATTAGAATATCCATGTTGATTATTTAGTGACACATCTGGGTATCCCAGTAGTAGAGCTAGAAACGCCTCACGACATTACCTATTTTGATTTGTTCACAGCATGTTAGAAAGCCCCCCTCTTCTTCTCACTAGTCATGGTGCTATTATATCACATCTTCCTATTCAACTTAGTAGTAGTGGTTTATAGTATTATTATTCCTATTCATCATAGTACTCACCGATGAGCGAATAATCTCAGCCCATTGCTGACGCTACTTTCTGACTAGTCAAGTAGTTGCACAGACATCGCCGGTACATCGCTGCTTATGATGCTCTATACGAGGGATCCTTGCTGGTGTATGCTATGACCCGAACCTCGAGTGATAAACTACTAGGGTATATCTAGAGGGCATTTGGGCAAGGACCATATGATGACCTACAGGGAACTCATACATCGACACTACTCTCGGTTTTCATATTATAAGTTTATACAGCATATCCCTTATGACCACAAGCATGTGTGTTGTTGAGTTGAAGTACATCGCAATGTTATTCATGTTCCCAGTGCATTCGAACGCTTCTATGATGACAATGTCTAGCCCATCATCAAGGAGTAGTTCTGGTGATATCGTGGATGGAGCCTCGGATGCTGAGCCACATCTGGCATACCACTCCTTGCCCACATCCTCCTCTCACCAGCTCAGTGATGAGGTGCCTACTAAGAAGTCCAGGTCTGCTGCGGACCTACGTAGATCACAGGTAGTGATATTTTCGAGGAAATCCACTTTAACAATGTCGAAAAATGCACATGGTTGGTGACAATTTAGAAATTCTGGAAATACACTTTTACTCAATGTAGTGAGAAAACTCCTGAGCTCAGCTGAGGAGGAGAGCGAACTTGTATTCCAACACTGACTTCGTGAAAATTAGGCCTATCGCATTTGAATTCGCTGAATTTTCGAACCGATAAGTATGTTGTTGTTGTTGCTATCAGATAGCCGCATTATGGTGGAAGAATTTCCTCCTAGCCCGACGGTCGAAGGTGTCGGTTATATGTGAATTCATCATACCAATAATAGTATCATTCGCCGCCTTACTCTTGGTGCCCATTATAAACTCTGATACGTTGAATCCTATTAACACAGTAGTAAAGGGAGCTCGCTGAATATGGCCCTATCATGGCTATTCGTAGTTTTCTTGTTTTTAATATGGAAGTCACTAAGGAAAATATGTAAATGCATCGGCGGTGGGAACATATTGTTTTTCTAATTTTCAAATCTAAAAAGTCTTCACACTGCGTTAGAACTGATGATACATTGTGAAGGCTTATGAGCTGCCCTTTCTGAGGTCATCATATATTCTGACGAGCTACGTCGTGTAGAGTATTGGAGTTATCTCTTTCTCCTTGCTCAGCCGGGCCAACCCTACCCATTCGAATTTACCATCGACTATAACAGTACCACTGGTGCCACCCTACCAGCTGTACCAGCGCGACAAGGTGTGAATCTGTATCAGAAGATTGCCTACGACCCGCTTTACAATGCATCGGTATCTGATCCGAAATATCAGGAGCGTTTTACTCATATGAACTCTCTGGCTCTTTATGACTACTGTTTTTGTAAGACTCTCGCGATCGGTCCTAGTGGCAATGAAAATGCTATGGAATTTGCAAAGTACATTTCGAGGGAATTTTCGGAGTGGGACAAGTACCCTGCTCGAGTGAAGGCTGATAGTTATGCTGGTATACTAGGGTATGATGACAAGAACACCACATGGACCTTCCCTGAGTGTAAGGTGCTCAACGAGATGGAGTCCCGGCCTATCGTCACGAGTAGTCTAGGAGATCCCGATGGTGTGGTACGGGCAAGGGACTATGGCTCTTATACCAAAACCAGGGTTACTCAGTCGACACAGAATGACCGAATATGTGCATATATAGACTTGGAAGATCTAGAGAAGCCGATTATTAGGAGTAATGGTACCGTGAATACTAAGTATGCTCGATACGATACGTTGTGGTGGGGTGAAAATGATAGGATTCAACGTGGAGACCCCAAGGATGATGGACCGGAGTATTATGCCGATATGGGATTTGCTCTTATACAAGCAGTTATTGACGACTTTAAGGAGCCTGATAATAGTAGCATCTATTTGGGGCAATTCCCCATGCCATATTCCTCATACACCACAGTAGCTGCTGGGGAGGCTTTCCAAGGCTTGTCTAGTATGTTTGGTGTACTCTTTTATATGTTCCCTTGCTTTGCTGTGGCGCGTAAACTCATCGCGGAAAGGTCTGGAAGGCTGAGGGAAGGTGAGGGTGGGATGGTATGCAGTTGGTGTTGCCCTCGAAAATAGTTTGATTATTTACATAGTTCTGATTAGATCCCTCTCTTTTGGAATTGGATTTTTTCCCTGGGCGGAGTCGAAAATTTTAAAATTTCACAAGGACTAGATAGAATTTCGCGCCGAAATTTTAACAAGATATTGTGATGGAGTATTATATACTTATACCGCTAGTGTGAATTCACTTGTCTGGGGGCTGCGTTTTTGATTAAAATAGCGGTCCAAGGGTTAATATCGGTTATTTTCCATATACTCAGGTATGCGTGTTATGGGCCTAAAAGACTACCCCTACATCATGTCGTGGTATTTATGGTATTTTGCATTCTATTTTGTCATATCTCTCATAGTATTCCTATTCTCATTATGGATGCTACCCATTACTGGCTCACTCTGGCTCTTCCTCTTAACATTCCTAGACCAGCTTTCATCCATGGCATTTACGTTCGCAGTTTCTACTCTGTTTTCTAGCCCTAATTCTGGCGCGGTTTTCACGTGTGCTATATACTATATCCTTGCATTCACCCTTGCCCTATTTGGTCGTGAAGATTCCCTCTGGGGCATTTCCCTTTTACCCCAGTGCAACTTCACTATGGTCTGTAATAACATTGGTTATCAATTCGGAATTGGTATCACGAATATCTCCGCCAACGTAGTGAATCATGGCTTCACGCTCACTATGGGAGTAGTGATGCTAATTGTTGGATTTGTGGTATGGTCTTTGGTGTACCTTTATCTGGATCAGGTGTATCCTCATGAGAATGTCGCTACGAGGAAATGGTACTTTCCCGTCCAGATGAGTTATTGGAGGGAAATACTCGGTCACGAGGAGATTTCAAAAGCGCGTGGTAGTACTACTGAGGAAGGGGAGGAGCCTGATGATATGAGCGGCATTGAACGGGCCTGGGATCAGCAGCAACTCGAGTTACTCAGGGAGGGCCAAACTGTGGATATACATAACTTGAAAGTAGGTTACGGGCATGTGAGGTTTGATGAGTTCGTGAGTTTGTGGTATAGCATCGTAGCATTTTAGAAGTGTAGAGGATCAGTAAGAAATTTGGTATCTGGGGTATAGGTGGAAAAGTGATACCGTAGTTTGTTGAAATAGTGGAAGTTCAGCCGGGCCATCTGATATAGATTACCTCTTGGGAGCTCTCATCGTATTGGGACCATCTCCGAGGGCGATTCACCGTGGTCTTCAATGTCAGCGTTGGAATATATGCTCTCTTTTTTTTTCTCTCTTGTTTTTTCCTCGGTGGCCTTATACCCCGTGAAAAACGCGATATTAGTGGTGATATGCAGTAGTCGTGAATTATATTTTCTACTAGTGCTTTTCATATCACTATCAGGGTGGTGACTACTCAATATACCAGGTTCGCTTCAAGACCCCATCTGGCAGCATAAATGCTGTTAACGGGTTGTATCTGGAAATGTTCCGTGATGAGTTATTCGTGCTTCTCGGGCACAACGGTGCTGGTAAATCTACTACTATCAATGTACTCTCTGGAATGTTGACGCCGACTAGCGGGGTAAGTAGTAGTAGTACTGTTCCTGCCCAGTAGATTGTAATCACATTTAGGATGTCCGAATATTCAACCATAGAGTGCCTGAGGACATGCCTCTCATACGTCGTAGTATGGGAGTATGTCTACAACATAACGTCCTATGGGGGGACCTTACTGTGAAGGAGCATCTAGATCTATTTGCTCGGATAAGGGGTCTCAGCACGGAGGGCTCTGAAAAGTTAGCAGAGGAGGTTGGACTTGGGATGAAATACAACGCCAAAGCCAAGACCCTTTCTGGTAGGTCGTTTTCTCGAGGGCGACGAGTTTTCTCAGTGCTAGCTCTAGCATGTCGTTGTCTATTATAATCTAGTTTTTATAATCTAGTTTTATACGGTAGATCATCCAGAAACCTATGATGTTCCTGAGGGAACTCATTTTGAGGAATATATTCTTCCATCAGTTTCCCATGTAAATGTCATCAGTATTCCATGAGTATTTCCCCCATTGTTATCAAACTCTCAAGGGCGTTATCCCTCAAAGTTAAATGGGCTCCTAGCCTTGTATATAGTTGATATTATTATTATATGAAAATATATATCATCGTAATAATCGATTAGAATTCAATACTGTATCGTCAAGTAAGCGTTATCGTTGGACGTGTTCGGTTTGATTAGGTGGCATGCAAAGAAAGTTGTCAGTTGGTGTGGCGTTCGTTGGCAATCCCAAGGTGGTCATACTAGATGAGCCTTCTAGTGGTATGGACCCCAGCGCTCGTCGTAGCATGTGGGATTTCCTACGGACCAAACGAGAAGGTCGAATTATGTGCGTTACTACACACTACATGGACGAGGCTGATATCCTCGCTGACCGAGTTGGTATCATCGGCAATGGGAAACTCCTGGCTTATGGTTCCACAAGCTTCCTAAAGCGTCACTATGGTGAGCTATTCGACTTAGTTGCTCTCAGTGAGTTGTTCTTGTTTTAGGTAGCGGGTACAATGTAACGATTGCTAAAACAGTAGAGAGTGTTCCCGACGAGCCCATACTCAAGTGTGTTAAGGGGCATTTGAGCGACGAATATCCGGTCACAGTAGTGTCGAGTATTGGCCTTGAGCTCGGTTTGCGAATACCCTTTGAGGCTGTTGATGAGTTTGGGCCTATGTTCAAGACTCTGGATGCTGAGAAGGGCTCGCTAGGGATATCGTCCTATGGTGTTTCGGTCACCAATCTTGAGGAGGTGTTCTTGAAGGTAAGGGAGCTCGCGTTGATATGAACATGTGTTGGTTTTCTCAGCTCAGTTCGGGAATTTCCTCAAGTATAGGAGAGAAGTTCGCAGAAAAATAACAAAATTTTCTCAGAGTTTTCATATAGTCGCTAACACACGTAGTTGACCACGTGTGTATTGTTCCCGTCCCGATAAAGACACTACGTAAGGGCCAGAACAACAAAACCCATTCGATGACGAGGGGAATATGATAAATTCAACCATAGTACTGGGCAGCGTTGGAATTTTGTATGTCTGCCTCCCTCAGCTGAGTCAAGCAGTTCCTTCGGTAATTATGGCATTTTACATACAAATTTGAGTACAGAAACCCATGAGAATTTCCCCAAAAATTTCCTCATTTTTCCGCATGTAGTTGACCATATGCAAATTTTCCCCCCTCAGGTTAGTTCGAAGTCTGAGGACCCCACGAGCAAAGATATAAAATCCCAGCATACGAAGGTCCATGCCGACATACCGGTGAAACGCAACATCCTAAACCAGTTTCTGGCCTTGTCACTTCGCCGTATACTCTACGGCTATCGCAAGTGGATTGCGACTCTGGCCGGTTTCATCATACCCTTCCTGGTCCTGTTGGCATTGCTTGGTTTACAAAAGGCATCATTAGCCCTTAAGGATCCGGCTCTGTTGGTGTTGGGCCCGACAAGCAGTCCGTATGAGCTTGGACCGTCCACTCATGTTAGTGGTTATTGGCATCGTGACAATCCTGATGTGTTGCGAACTGTCTATGATGATCAGGAAGTGCTTGTTAACTTGTCCGAGGAGAAACTGGGCATATTCGAATTCATAGAGTGCCTCAATATGGAACCATGGTACTTCATGGCAAAGCCTAAGAAGGAGGTAGATCCCCTAGCACCGATAAATCAGAAGATATGCAAAGCGGTGACCTCATTCTCCAAGTCGTTATTGGGCAACAATACGGCGACCTTTGACACTACTGCATATGGTATCACCAGTCGGGTGGCATTCACTGATATGACTGCTATGCATATGCTACCATATGCTATGTCGGCTGACTACCCCAACGCTACTATTGTGAACCATCCATTGCCAGTCACCTACGGCCAGAAGAGTGCAGACTTGGTGAACTTGTCAATGTCCTTCTCACTGGGCGGTATGTTCGTCATTGCCTTCATAGTAGCGGCCAGTAACATGTTGTCATATGCTATGATGGAGAAGACCTCCCTTGTGAAGGAACAACTGTATGTAAGTGGATGCAACATTGCCATGTATTGGTTGTCGTCGTGGATCTATGATTTCCTTACTATCTTCGCATGTGCTGCCCTGTGCTTCAGTGCTATTAGTATATACGACTTGGACTTATACCTGCATGGAAAAGCTCTCGCTGCCACTTGGCTGCTCCTGCTTGGTTTTTGTTTTTCCGCACCAGGCTTCAACTACTGCGTATCGCTGATATCAAGATCAGCGACGATAGCTACATACATAAGAGTTGGTGTAGGCTTGGTCATCGGGATGATAGGCTCATTCGTGGTCGCCTTCCTTCTCTATAGTGGTCTCCGCAACCCTGCTGGCGTACCTCTCATGTGGGTCTTCCGGTTGGTCCCCTCCTTTCCCCTGGCCAACGGTATCACTACTATGTTCTTCGCTACACTGGGTATGGTACGCACTCCTGAGGGCCAGACTGGTGTTATCGTCCCACCTCTGACGTCAGTGATTGCAGGGAACTGTGTGGAAGGCTCTACACCGGGAAGTGAAGGCTACTACTGTGTGGCAGTTGCTGGTGATGATATTATCATGTTGTTCATAATGGGTACCTTTTACCTGGTAGCGGCTATATGCCTTGACTATTGGCTTTGTAACACACGTTGGAATACGAAGAAGGACGTCATAGTGCCCGCCGATAAGCTTGGCTTCGAGGACCTTAGGGTCATCGAGGAGAAGGAAAGGGTTGCCGGGCTTGATCCGGAGGCTCAAATGGTCTACATACGTGACTTGAAAAAAGTATTCCATCCACATAGCAAGAGGAAACAGGTACGTCAAAATGCTTAGGAATGGGGTTCATGCTCATGCTAGGTATGGGCAGTTCGTGGGCTCAACTACGCCTCGGCGGACGGTGGCATCTTTGGTCTTCTTGGTGTTAATGGTGCCGGTAAGACTACAACTTTCAAGATGCTATGTGGCCTGTTGAAACCCTCTGCTGGGGATATCTACCTAGCTGGGAGGAGCCTATCAGGAAACACTGACGAGGTTGGTGTTGTTGACACTATCGATCGGTTGAGTATGTTTGTGGTCAGGTTCGGAAGAATATAGGCTATTGTCCACAACAAGACGCTCTTATCGACGGTCTCACTGTGGAGGAACATTTAACAATGTGAGCCTTCTTATACAACCAGTTTAGAATGCTCGATCGATCGCAGGTACGGCACGATACGTGGAGTGCCTCTAGGGATGATGAAAGCCCATGTAAAGGAGTTGATGGAGATCCTACAGCTAAGGTAAGGAGGTTATAGTCATTCAATTCATCAATGGCTTTCCTGCTAGTCGCTACGCCCATTCATATGCGACAAGGCTATCAGGAGGCAACAAGAGGAAGCTGTGTGTTGGTATGGCCCTCATTGGTCAGCCCTCCATAGTCTTCTTGGATGAGCCTACCACTGGTGTGGACCCCGAAGCCCGCAGGTGATGCCCTGCTTCAACTTTTTTACTTACGTCTTTGTAGGAACATTTGGAACGTGATTAACAAGATAGCAAATGGTAGAGGTAAGAGGTCAGCAGTTATCCTTACTACCCACAGCATGGAGGAGGCAGACGCCTTATGTAACGAAATGGTCATACAGGTTAGTCTACAGGCTCCTATGCTAATAGCAATGGGTGGACTTCAGGTGGAAGGCCAATTCCGATGCCTTGGGACTTCACAACAGATCAAGTCCGAGTACGGCGCTGGTTATAAGCTGCAAGTTCATTTTATACCGTCGCCCATTCGTGAGAGGACCTTGACGCTGCGTAGGATATCTTCAGCGGCTGACAGGGAAGACTTTCTAATGCGGACTGATGATGACATTGTGGAACTCCTTGAAAACAACGGTAGGTCACTGGTCTGATTTCATGTACAGTGTTGTGGACCAGGTGTAACGGACCGTAACGCTATCAACTGTGTGATACTGCTTGGGTCACCTCAGCCGGAAGGTTTTCGTATGTTCAGTGGCCCAACCCTTGCTGAGGGTATACATCGTGCACAAGTCCATGAGCGCATGTTGCGGTGGTTGAAGGAGAATCTGGGTGTTGGTTGTAGCTCATTAGATGCCTTTGGAGAATACAATCTCCCGAAAGAGCTCAAACTCGGCGAGGTATTCACTCGATTGACCGATAGCAGTGTTAAGGAGGAGCTCGGCTACGATGACTTCCAGCTTACTCAAGCCACGTTGGAGCATGTGTTCAATTCTTTTGCTAAACAGACTCCTGCAAGAGACGATAATTGATTATCATCGATGTGTTCTTCCTTGTTCCTATTCCTATAGTAGTACCATATGTATACACTTATAATTCCTCCGTATCTCCCTGGTTACAGGGGGCATTCCTTATGTGCAGTTCTAAGCGGTTTTGTCTCTCAATCAATAATGGAGATTTGTGTTTCTTAGTGGGAACAAGCAATCGATTCGCTCTCCTAGAAAGTCTCCAGAGGCACCCACATTTACTGTCCGTTACTGTCGTAGAATGCATGTTCACTACGTGTGTGAGCTGTGGTCAGAAGTCATTCGTGGAGTCGGTGACCCGATTTCCTTGAAATACCTCGATGTTCTGTTATCAACGTCACGTTTGCTGTGAGACAAGCTCGGTGAGGGTGACACGATTGTAATCATTGAAGAGCCCGAGACAAAGGCTAAGTCAATGGCCGTTGGAATTACTCTCCAGTTTCTGAATCATTTGTGAATGTTTCATGCGTACCTCTATCTAGCGACAATCCAATCTCCATCTTCTGGTTTCTCCCTAATCCCATCAGAACAAGCACATAGTCAAACAATCATATCGGAGGAACACAACTCTCATGACGCAGCGCAAGGTTCAATTATCACGTTTTCGCTTACCGGAGTTATTCTGATCACACGTATCCTCTGGCTTATTGTTGATCGCCCAGAGGCACCGCTGAATCTACAATGATTTTATATTGAATTATGAACAAGTGATTCGACGTACCCTCTCCGGTGTCCACTCGTCACCACCCTTTACGCTTCGAAGCTCCTTGGACACCTCTTGTATGCGAGTGAATACTTCTTTATACGTTGGGAGGTCGTACCAGAACATCCTTGCACTACACAATGACTGAACTGGCATGTTGAGCTTACTTGCGTGGGATATCGCAAGCTAAGATGGCTTCATCGCTCATGAATGGAATACTCGCTTCTCGCGCGGACAGTACAGCACTCGCTGTTGCCACTCCCACTCCTGAGCAGAAAGTAAAACTAGAGCAGCAAGTAACGGATTACCTCTAAGAGCGGTTAAGGCCACAACCGCACCAAGAAAGTCCCGGCGCTTGAGCTGTACGGGAGCAATCACAAATCATCAGTCAGCTCAATTCTCACCTTGACGTCAGCCGCAGCCCATGCGTCTTTCACGGCTGCCTCAGAGTTGCTCCGAACCTGTTCAACAAGAGGCTTCAAATGTTCGGTGTTCGGATGAGTCGAGCTTGTAGTGTGTCCCGGTTCCCTCACCAGCTTCATTAGAGGGCGGAATTTCCCTCTTGTTATTTTCCACTTTACAATCAATGTCAGAGTGTCGAGAGTGAGTTCCTCTTGGGACTTTCCGAACTGAAAATAGCGATGTAATGAGATAATAACATGCCTCGATGGTAGATCGCTCTCTTAGGCAGTGCCACATTGGCACCTTCATTCGCGCCTCTTCCAAGTCACGCAGGAGTGGCCATGCTTTCCGTTTCTTGCCTACAGCCTGTAGTGAGCCTTGAATTGATGCTATGTATCAATGAATCTTCACCTCAAGCGCAGAGTCATAGAGTCCTTCAGCACATTGCCAAGCATCTACGGAACGATCCTGTAACAACGCGCTAGACGGAAGGGTCATGGGAAATTACAACAGAAAATGCATGCACCACGTATAGATATGCCAATGTCTATACATAGCCTTCTGCCGGAGTTGAACCGACGACCTCCCGCTTACTAAGCGGGTGCTCTACCAACTAAGCTAAGAAGGCTGATATCTTCATAAATCCGAAGAGCTCCACGCATGCACGACATCAGGCGATAAATATCTCAGTTAATCGCACAATTGAATGTCAAAGATTGTGGAAAAGCGCGATTAACTCCCGAATGCGTAGAAGTCCAAAACTGACAAACACAACATCCCGATAATTTTAGCCAATATGTAGGGGTATTACAGTAGCAATCGTCAATATGCTCCTAATGCGACCCCGAATAGAATACCTCCAATAGGCTATTCTCATTATTTATGCACAGATGACGGTCGAACTCTTCTCAACTTGCATGAAGGTCGATACGCTGGAGTTAGCTAGCTTGCCACTCCATATCCATCAACATCACGCAAGGAATACTCAATGATCTTGCAACGACGGCAAATATTATTGTCAGCAGCAACATGCGAATCGCAATCACACTAAGTCAGGTCATACGGTCGCGCCAGTAAAATATCTCATCGCAACCAACTTTTGAACACTTAAGTTCATACTGGATCACCACTACAGCGAAGTGGCACCTTAGGCCAGCGAAAGCATGCTCGAACTACCAACTACGTGGAAATACCGAGTGCAGCGGCGAGCAACTACTTACAGCTTAACGATTGGCCTAAGACACTATCAAGCTGAGTGACGATTCAGACATCAATATTTTTCTCAATAAAAAGCGTAAATGCTAATACCAATATATTCTATCTTACTAAGTAGCTCCATTTACCACCGGTTTGAGCGGTCAATGAACTACGCTATTTCTATACAAAATAGAAGGCCTCTACGAGCCTTCTCGACCGCCACGTTTACCACGAAGTAGACCAGTACAGTAGACATTCACCAGGGCGAGCGCTACCATAATCGGCCTAACCATCAGTCAAGTAGATGAACAGTCAAGCAAAGAAGAACGGATACCAAGAATAGTGAGAGCCCATGAATGTGCAGTCTCAAGAGCACGAGAAAATGTATCACAGTTGGGATCAACGTTACCATTATTAATATTGGAATGGTGACAACAGTTGAAACGGTCGAGACGAGTAAGAGGGTGTCCCACCGTGAGAACTGGCGGGCTACGAACATGCAAAGAGAACTAGCAATACTAATCTGAGGCTATTGGCCCGACGACATCATCATCATCACTGTAAAGAAGTGACATGCTGTGAAATATGTAGAGCACTTGCTGACTTTGTCGTACGACCAGCCTCAGGAACACCTTCTACTGCAGAGGGAAGCGAACGAGCTCCTGTACAAAGGTACTCGATAGCGATACCATTCTCGCGTGAACTCACTTCCAAAACGTGCGGACCATCTTCCTTCAAGCTCTCGCTTCGGAATGTCCTCTCATACACGACGAGGTCCCATGCAGTAATGGGGCCGAACTCGACAGCGGGACGACCACTGACCCAATACAACCTCCGCACACGCAGTAACGTCTCTGTCGCTTACAGTTTCTCCTTGTAAAAGTCCACTATCTTAATCCCCTCCTCACCAAGTCGATTCTTAGCCAGAGTGAGATGAGCTCGCTTCTTATACCGGATCTTATCTGCCATCACGACTGTCATCCCAGAGAAAGCCCAACAATAAGAATCACCTTTTATGAAGCCACCAAGGGCTGAGCGAACATCGCCCAAGACTTGGTCATAACCCAAACTCAGCAACACACATCTGAGACATGATTCCTCAGCCTGGATCTGCCTACCATATCAGACTTACCCGTCTGGTGACACCAGGAGCTCCTCCACTTTCACAGGCGACTCGCCACACGTGACAAACGACTCCTGAGCATTTTCAAGTGGACTAATCGCGAAAATCACTCATTTACAGTATCATCTTCCGAGTCATCTTCAGCATCACATTTAACAGGCAAAGTTGAATACCCCGAACTCGCCGCGGTCACCTACAATATAAAATTAAAAGGTCTGGGAATACTCCATCCTCTCAAAGGGAGCTCCTTTCTATGACCAATAGTTTACTTTGCACTACTAAGTTCTTAGCTGATAATTTTTCGACAGCATGAGCGGCCAAGACGAACTGAATAAAACCCTCTAGTGCGCCACGCAGTACATCTATTTATAAACTACTAAGTGTGCAAACTCGCTGCACATTGAAATTGCATAAGGATAAAATTGATGAGCACTCACCATGCTAGCCAGACTGCTAGGTGATTGCTCCTCAGCACTAGTGTAAAGTGACGATACCGTACTGCTGCTATCAGTAGCACATAGAGCTGTGAGGGGCTGGTCAGCATCCAGTAGCTGTGTGCCTCCCATACTACGATGACCAGAAGCCGACGACAAGAATGCCCAATCCAGGTCCAACAGTACGGCTAACATCAGTGAGGTACAATGAAAGCTGTAGTAGAAAGTAGCCTACCCCGAGCCTCCTCATACGATGCTGTAAAGAAGCCTGTTACACTAGAATGCAATCCGTATAGGTAACTCTCGTCCGGCCCAAACAGGGACAGTGCCTGGCAGTAGTGTAGGAGTATATGCGGTATTGTAAACTGTTGTTGACAATGAGAAAATTATTGCAATTTCATACTAATTTCCGTCCACTCCTAAGTAGCGTGACAATTTCAAAACTCAGCTGAGGCAACTAGTCTATGTAGTTCAGTGTAGCAGTCATCTACTATGAAAAGCACTCCAGCCTCATATACCTCCTTTCTAGCCTCGTCCAGTCTCCTATAAAGCTCCGACTCCCTACGAGGCTCCACGTAAACTATGAGTTCTTTGGTAGAGCCTCTACAATAACCCTCTTCAGTGGCCTCTTCTCCTTGTGCTGAGGCCTCTATTCCTTCCCTCTGGCCTCCACCCGTTCGCTGCCTAGTCACAGTAGGAGTAGCAGCGAGTATAGTAGCAGCCATTATCGAAATTCTGGTTTCCAGGCCCAAGGGCCGGATAAAAGACTCAAACTGAATAAGATATACATGTAGTTATGAAGGAGAGCATTTCACGCTGATCGTCCTTGATCAATGATATCAATTTGATATACATAGTTAAACGAGGATACATAAACGTCAAGCGGTTATAGGCACCAGTATATAGAGACTCGCGATACTCTCGCGAGGCCATGGACGCAGTACTATTAGGCCGTCCCGAAACCAACGTAAAACTCATCTTCGTCTAACCCACTAAATAGCGCGCGCCCACATGATCGATTAGGTTGTTGTGTCGCCGGTGGCATGATGTCACACAAGTGTCATAGTCCAAGGACATCGAGTGTTCTGCAACCTACGCCGATCATCTCCATGGGAGTATCCGTATGAGGCTGGTTTGTTTAGGCGTAAAACCTGAGTGATGAACGAACTATGTGTAGACCTTTGGAAGTGACCTCAGGTTCACTTGCTTTCTTAGATCGCTTGACATTTCTCAAGCCGGTCTGAGGTAGACAGTTATTCATCGGATTTGCGCCTTTGGCCTCCCATATGGTCTAGCGCCTCAACGTGGCGTGGGAGTGATACTCATTCGGAGTATGCGAAGCTAGACCGCTTATACCGAACTCGACAATCACCCAACGGGTGGTGACTGAGTGGCTATCTGATGACCGCTGCGATGACCAGACCAGCGCTGGACAAGTACTTCTTCATGCTCCTCTACTCGACTACGGAACTGCTTCACGTTTCACTCCCCCTTGCCCAAGCTAGCCACCTCTACTTGTGATCTCCCTCTGTGGGTACCGCCTACTCTTGCTGTGTGGGATTGGGACTCCCACGGGACCAG